TAAATTATATGTTATGAAGAATATAGATTTTCACAAGGTACTGTGAGGAATATAGATTTCAACAAGGCCTTAAAAAAGGTAAACAATGTAACCGTGAGTTACAAGGGATTTTAGATATCACACATATAGACAAACGACGGTAGCAGTATGTATGCAAACCCTCTATTTCAACGCTTCAGAGGTACTGGGATAGCCTGGTGGTAGGGCATTGGGTCCATGTCCGAGAGGTTGGGACGTGTCCAAAAATATAATTCCATGAAAATAATAATTCTTAATAAATAATTTCTTATTTTTTCAATATTGAATTTAATAATAGTCGTAGTATTTTGGGTTTTAAGGAATAAAATTTTTATCTCACTTTAAAGAATGCAATTTTACACGGAAAAATACAATTTTTGAATGAAATGGTCAAAAAATTCCTACGATATCGAATTTTAAAAACGTTGTATATTTAAAACTCAATTTCTCAGTAACTAGTTGACCGAGGTCTTACGAATTTTATGTTTTGCCATGGAAAGCACATTGTTTAAAATAAAATGAAAAAATTCCAATCCTGATATTAAAAGTACTTCGTTATTCAAATATGAATATTTAAAAAAAATATTTGCTTAAATTTTTTTTGCATAGATCATTGTATAATGGCGTGAAAAAATTCAATTCGCTTAAAAAGCTCTCAAGATATGGCGAAATGCACACAAAATCTAATCTTTATACTGCTTCCCGGACCAAACTATTGGGACCATATTTTCCAGATTGTGGCCATCCTCTATAGGTTTATTAGTTTCAGAAGTGGAAATCCGTTGAAAGAAATGTATGTATATTCAATGAAAGCACGTGTTTGTGTCTGATTTCGTAACTTGAGCTATCATCTGCATTAACTAATTTGCATATTTCAGGTCACCCCCTCGAACTATTCAGATTGAGTCCTAGAACGTAAAGATCCGGTTATTAGATCAAAAGTTATTCAATGGTGGTGAAAATTTTCTTGTGTACAGTACGTAAGCTATGGTCAGATGAATGAACCTTATCCTATTTTAGCGAAGTCAAGCATCACTGGCTGCTATCAGTGTGCGGGTGGGTGACCACTTGAATCTGTCTGCGTAGGGACAGAGGTTGTGCGGTATTGGTCCTCGTTAAACTGTTCTACCGTAAAATACTCGACTTCGCGTGCAGGTCGTCGGGCTACCGAAGCGGGGCTGCCATCTCCTGTACATTGAATCAAAATTGTGATGTCTTCAGATCATTCTCAGGGATGTTTTCCAGACCGCCAATAGTCCATTGTGAAGCTCTAATGCAACGTAAATGAACTACAACAATAACAACTACAACATTCTCGTTTAACTTAATTAAGGCATGCATCATAAATTATTTTATGCCTTTTAAGTTTAAGCTTTATTTTTTTTCAACTTGAAAAACACTCTCTTTTTTTCCTTCTTTTTTGGCATCGATCGAATTCTCTAACAACAAATATATAGAAAACCCATTGTTAACTCAATTCTAAAAAAAAATATGATCTACGCCCTTTTTTAAAATTATCCGACCGGTAAGAAAGTACAGTCTTTGAGAGAATTATTATCTAGAAAACTTCCATGTTCTAACATTTTTCCAGTCACCAAATCTCTTCAAGAATTTTTGACAGGTCTTGCCTTTTTTTCTTTTCTTATTTGACAGCAGGCTTGATTTCTGACATACATTTTGAGCAGTTTAAGCGAACTTTCATCGCAGTCAATGTCACTCAAAACGAAGGTTAAGAATTGCATCGGCAAAAGTGTGTGGAATAAATAATTAGACGTAAAATAATTTTTTTATAAAAAGGTTAGCAAAAGTGCTATGAGAAATTAAATCACGTTATTGATAATTTAATAAAATATGTGTACAGTTTAATGACACTTGAAACATTTGGAACTTTATATCGACAATTTAACCTAGATAGCAAAATAAGGTTTATTTTAACTCTGCAAAAACCTTTTATTGCAAACCTAAAAAGGTTTGTTATGCCCAAAACAAATAGCGCTTTCATACACAACAGACCGGCGGTATGCCGAAATAGATAGGGGTTGAATTAATTGTGAAAACGTTGAATAGGACAATGTCTTTTTTGCATAATTTGTGACGAAAATCAACATGGCTAAGAAAAATATTACATTTCGGAAAAGGGAAAAAAATAAGCACTTTTTAAAAACATCCATGGAAAAAAAGCACCTTTAAGGGCTTTTAAAAAACGAAAATCGAAAATAAGCACCTTTAAGCACTTTTTAAAAACGCACGCACCCTGTTACACATAAAAAAATTTAAATTTCAACTTGAAACTTGTGTATTGTGTTTTGTTTTAGTTCCTTGTATAAAATATGTTGAATTTTTCTTTTTTCTTTCAAAATATTTGGTAGGGGAAGTAGTTAAAGCAAGAAAAGGAACCTATTTTAAAATTTTCTAATAAATTTCACCGTCCTGAAGAATATGATTTTTAATTGACTCATTGACACACCTTTTCGAACAATTTTTGTATGCGAAATTTCAAAAACGTTTTACTTAATATCCTATTTCTTTTCGTATCAGTGATAAAGGTTCTCAAGGTCCACTTGACCGATTGACAATGCTGCAAACTGCTCGGGTACTGTATGCTACTGAAGATACATATAAACAATCATAAATCAATAACAACATAATTCGTTGTTCAAAGATTAAGAATTCAAAGCAGCAAATCTTTTAAACTCGTAAGAATAAAATATGATCTTCATATCGAACAAATTCTTGTTCTCTCCTCCTTGGCAACATTTTTGACTAATGAAGTTCAGAAATTCGGAAAATAAAATAAATGAAGAGATAAGTAAATATTTCTTATTTAATATCCTAGGTGACTTGAAACTTCCACTTCTTGTTTTCGTTAATGGCAGTATCTATTATAAAGCAAATGAAACATCACTTTCTTTAACAAAAAAATACAAAGTATTCTTCGATTGGTGCACGTGGAATTTCCTGATTATTAATGTCCCGAGCGTGTTCTGCTCTAAATTAAGGGGGAGGTAGAAACGCTTCCAGGAAAAGTAAGTTGTTCCAGGAATTGTTCTCTCAAGTAAGTGCAAAACTGTATCAGGTTTTTTTTTCCCACCGAATTCTTAATGTAGAATTCATTAGGAGGGAAAAGTTTTATTAAGACTGAAATATTTTTTGAGATACCGAAATTGATACAGAAAATGCAAAATAAATTAGAATACTAATAGATTAAAAAAGTCTTTTACTTCTTCGGAAGCTGATTTATCATACCAGATTTATGTAGAATAAAATGAGACATTTCTATTGAACATATTATTTATTTATTGTTGTTATGCGAAAGTAAAGATTTCATTAACGGTAAAACATTTTATCATTCATAAGATGCATTATAATTTACTTCGTATTATTTCTTTTGAAAACAAAACAATATTGTTCAAAATATTTAATGAAATATTTTAGCGGTCGAAATATGAATATTTGGTAATTTGTTACTCTGGGAAAAACTACTAGTATTTTTGTCCCCATTCCCTGTTATAGTCCTCTTTTGGGTTATGATGTTCGAAGAGTTTAGGACAATATGCTAACTATGGTAACCGTGGACGAGACGTAATGCGTATTACGCATACTTAAGTAGGTACTTATTGGTTAAGGTATCCTTACTTATTAAATTCACTTAGTAAGACAAAAGCTAAAGAAATACTTTGGAGGAGGATATGAGAATATGCTAAAAAGAGGATATGAGTTGTCTGAAAATATGATTTTAGAAGTATTTGCATAACAGTTGTTGAAAGTTTGGGCCCATTAATGTAGTTTATACTTTCTTTCTATTTTTCCATGCAATTGTAAGTATAGGCGATCGCAACGCTCGAAAAAGCCCTCTGGGAAGAAGATCAGTTGCATACCTTCGGCCCTTCCCCCTTCCCTGTCCTCCTCCTATCAGTTGTACAAGAATGTACTACGATATTTTTCCTTTTCTTAATATTTTTCATATTTAATCGTTAAAAATATTGTTTAGAAATTCCATGACACTTTCTTTTAGAACTATGTTTAATGTAGTTTTCATTTCCATATAGTTTTCAGTTCCATATAGTTTCTTAACTTAAAAGATTTTAATCTATTTCAAAATCAAGACAGAAACTAACGTACTTCCTTCTTCTATGACTCTCCACACACTAATGGTGAAAGCATGCGAAGTGTTGCCATAGGTAGAGAGTTCTGTTCTACGCCACACTCGCAGCCCATTTCGATCGCCAATTGTAGATAAACAAAAGGTTTTTGCACTCAGTTATGACACCCGTTTATCCAAAGATAAACCAAGATAAGTTAAAAAATATTTTTATTTCATAATTATTTACTACTTTTAATTATTTATTTTAGTAATGGTCAAAGAAACTGTGATGTATACAAATTTTTTAAACTTTGAAATTTTAAGTGACAAAATTCAGAATTTGAACGGAGTAGTTCTGATAGTTCTTTAAAAAATAGAAGTTAAAAATACAGCTGTTTTGATACAACTAAATGTAAAAAAAGTAAAACTAACGGTCACGAACTCTCGACCGCTCTCCAGCCTGTAATTCTAGTTTCTTAATTTTCAGATTGAAGCTACCACTTCGATATTTCGAGAATCTGAAATTTTCGAAAAAATTTTTTAATCTGATAATGTACGTTTTAAGACTTATTTCATAATTTAAGATATCTTCAGAACAAATTATTTGGCATGTTTCATATTCTCAAATCATTAAAATTGCTTCCTTACTTGTGACAAACCTATCACTAAATCAAAAGTTATTAAAAAAATTTTTTTCAAATTATTTCTGCGTAATGTACATGTTTGAAAAATCATACGCTAAAAAATACATAGAACATAAAATTAAAATTTAATAATTTTAAACAAATATGGAAATCACTATAACAGCTATCAAAAAAACAGTTCCAATAAATCGAATAAAAAATTATCTAAAAAAAAAAAATAGAAACTTATTACTCTACTATTTTCAACATTAATTTCAAATTCTTAAGGATACTAAAAGTGGTTTTGATTTCTTTTTCGTCATTAAATCCATTGATTTGGCTTTTCTTTTATTTGTTTCTTGATATCTTGCAAGTGACTGAGCTGCATCCATATTTTTTGGCTCCTTCCTCTCACGTGACCTCAAGACAATAGAAAAGCCGCAAAATCGATCGTATAAGCTAAATCGCCTGCTTTTTGGAGGTCCTAAAAGTGTTAGAAAATCTTTCGTTCGTAAAGTTGATTTGATTGTGAGCTCCTGAGCAATCTGTGGAGGAGGAAAGTTTAACGCATAAGTTGATCACAATACGATACTAGGTATTTAAACACTTTTTTTCCAACAAACTAATTTTAAGAAGGAAAAAAAAACTTTCTATTTGAATTTAATAGAAAAAGAAATTAAAATTCCGCAAGGTATTTGTCAAATATTTTAGGAATGATAAGCTAGATCATAAAAATTGCATTGCGATTCATGGCAAAAATGTCAGGAAAAAGTAGAGAAATAAGATCTGAAAAGACACGGGAGAATCTTTATTGCATCTTACGGGTGCCAATAGCATACAAGATGAATAAAATTTCCAATATTAGAGCAATTGTTCAAAGTTTGCACTTCGAAACTGACAGAACATATATTACCGAATAGGGTCTATGATACCGTTTTCTTTGACATTTGCAGTATCGCAAACGAGTCTTTCTTCAAAATCCATTACAGACTGCAGAAGCTCGTTGTATATTATAGTTTTGAGCGATCACGACTGATAGATATAAAGGGTTTTTTTCAGATATTTCTTTGACAGTTGCAGTATCGTAAACGAGTCCTTCTTCAAAATCCATTACAGACTCCATTAAATCATAGTTTTGAGAGATCACGCTGATAGAAATAAAGGTGTGTTTTGTCAGGTTATCGATTCTTCGCTAATTAGAGTATCGCAAACGAGTCTTTCCGCGAAATCTGTTTTAGACTCCATAAGTTCGTGGTTTATTTTAGTTTTGAAGCTGAGAAATGGTGAATTCTGACTTATGCACAGCGTTCAATTTTCGTCTACTATTTCAGTTTACACACTAGTTACTTCCGCTGCTTTAATTAACAAGCAATTTTCTCCGCTATTTCATTTATTTATTTGTAATTCAATTTCTAATTAAAGGGGAGAGTCGGGTAGCCCCGCCCACTTAAGGAGTATTGCTTATATTTCTGTATAATATTGAGTAATAATCAATATTTTTGTATGCTTCTATTGTCTTATCATCTAATTAAATAATGCAAAAAGAATAAACTAAAAAGAATAGTTTAACTTAAAATAGAAATTTAAAAAATTTGACTACTGTATTTAACATATTTTTAAAACTATCGTTTACCGTGTTACCAGCTGCATAAATACTTGAAACTTTGAAAATAATCTTTTTTAATATAACAATTAATGTCCGATGGCCCATTGACTTGAAAAAATATTCTATACATATGAAATTAACAGTGGGGGGGGGGTACCCGACACTCCCCTAAATGTACTGGTATTGAAACGAAAAACAAAAGCATTTTTTTTTTATTTTCGTTTATAGGAAACACTAGATTTGACTCATGTTTAACTGTAGTTAAATAAAGACAATAGCAATTAACTAAACACAATTGCAACTAACAAAGGACTATTGCAACTAACTAAAGACAATTGCAACTAACTAAAGACAATTGCAACTAACTAAAGACAACTGCAATTAACTACTAAAATTAATCGACTGGAATCAACTATTGACAACTTTAAACCGTTTTAAATACCTGTGCATCTTGGCCAATGTCTAGACAAAACAATATCGATAACAATTGTCGATCACAGGCATTTGTCAAGGTTCTAAATTCATCCAGTTTCAAACACTGGCAAATTGTTTTTATTTTACCTCACTAGAAAATTTCCCTATCTGACGAAAAATCCTTTCTGTTTAAGAATTGTATTGTATAGAAAGATACAAACCCTTATCAACATCTTTTCTTTAGTTTTAAGCAAATACGATGCTGCTTTGTAGCCTTTCTGCAAATAAATTGAAACATTCTCCAGAGTTTCACGGTCGACTTTAGCTTTGTTTTCCATAGTTCCTTTTTGTTTTGCCTAAATAACGAAACAGTTTCATCTCCAGATAAAAATTAAGCAATTTGTTTCAAATATTTAACCAATAATATGAATAATAACAGTTAATATGATAATTAAAATTGTTTAAAAATATTTCCGTTTTTGTATGCCAACAGGAAGTTGTTTTAAAAGCATGATTCTCCTTAAAAACTTCAAGGAAAAAACTAATCTGGAATGCTTCATTGCCGGTGCAAAGAGTTCTGCCAGGCGTAAGATTTTTCTGCAGAATTCATGGTGCAAAAAAAAAAACTCGTCTGTAAGTGAGAATGAAGGCAAGATGCTTTCGAAAAGTTTATCGAAGCATTTGATAAGATAAACGGAATAAACAAAGCCCACAAACAAAGTAAGCATCACAAGCATTCTAAGTAATCGCCGTTAGCTACTACAAACTTATAAAACTGGATGTGCAGAAAAATAGTAAAACAAATGAAATACTTTTTTATTATATTATTTGTATCATTGATGTTATATCTTGTTCAAAGATGTCTTACTTACTGTCTAAAAGGTGATAGAAAAACTGCTTTTTTTTAAGCTCTCAGCTTCTACACTGCGCACCTTCACTAACATTTCTTATATCACCTTTTATCCTAATTTAAAATTCAAGTTTATGTGTTGCTCCACCCTTAATGCCGTAATACGGCTTCTGCTCCTTCCAGTTCTAAAATTAATAGCTGCTTCCGCTTAACTTTCATGATTTAGACGTTAATAATTGGTATGCTTCTCACTTTGAAAGGTTTTTTTTTTCAACTGGAAGTATTTACCAGTTTCCGTCCATACCTTGCGCAAGTAGAAAAACGTTTCTCTGGTCACAAAAATATAACATAGAACATTTAAGATAAAAGATATTTATTTAATGCATTGTTTAGCTATATCATTACAGAAAATTTTAGGCTATATCGTACCATGATTTGCATGCATGACTCGATTCCTTGAAATTTTGAATATAAATAAGTGCTTTAAATTGTCTAACGACGATATTATGTAATTTTTAGATAATTGAAAGGACCGTTTTTTTAAACCTACTTTTAAAACTTTAATTTACATTTCAAACATGTCAACTTTCTAATAAAACTTGTTCACATAATGCTTAAAAATGTTATTCGATAATTAGATAAATGTCGATAATTAGATTACAACTTTTTTTAAATTTTATTTTTCTGAATATATTAAGTAGACACACATACCATGGAATGTGCTATGTTCAAAGCATCATGCATATCGTCTCCTGGCAAGTAATAATTCGAATTTTTGGTGAAGAACTTGCTATCTGGGAAGAACATAGTTTCAGCGATACAACCAGCTAAACAAACACCAAGTTCTTCAAAGTACTAGGAAAAAAAAATAAGACAAAATTATAAAAAAAAAACAAATATTTACTATATGCAAAAACTCACACTATACCTACATTTTATAAAACAAAGGAGTTAATACTGATGGGTGATATAAATATTGATATTCTAAGTGATGATTTTATTACTCATGAATATATTAATTTATTATGCCAATTTGGATTTCAAAATTACATAGACAGACCAACTAGAGTAAATTCCTCATCAACTTGCATTGATCATGTCTTTGTAAAAACAAATAAATTTTCAATCAAATTCGGAATATTCATAAATGACATAAGCGATCACTATCCAACCTTTTGCAGTGTTCATTACGATGAGGTAAATAAAATTAAGGAAGCTGAAAATAAAATTTCAATCAACTATAATAAGCTCAATAATTATCTGTCAAATTACAAATGTAATTACAATCCTCAAGATTCTCTTGATCAACAATATCGAAGTTTTGTTTTCAAACTCAATAATTTAAAAAATAATTTTAAATATAAGCATAAATCAAACAAAAAAGCCAAACATAACTGGATGACTAATAATATCTTGATTTTAATTCGAAGAAAGGAAAAACTATTCAAAAAAACTAGAAAATATCCATGGGATATTATTTACAAAACAGCATACAACACTATAGTTTCTGAGCTTAAGAACTTAATTAAAACAGCAAAATCAGAATATTTCAAAATCAAATTTTTAAATTGTGATTCAAATAAACAAAAATGGGATCTTGTAAATNTAAGATTCTGTGTAAAATCTTAATTATCAGGTGATACTCTATACAGCTTTATTGTTTTTACGATACTGTTTGCACTTGTTTACGTTCGTGTATCAATGGGTTAAATGAGACGATATGTAATATAAATTTGACGATAGGCAAAATTAGACGATGTATTATATAAATAAAGAATATTTATTATGTCAAGCATTATATTAGAATATTATAATAATTAGATCCAATTATTAGACTGCAGTTTTTTTTAATAATGACATGATTTGCACTAGTTTATATGCAATAATATTTAAACATGCATGTAATGGGTTTTTATTCAGGAGATTTTTTATGTACTTATATATGTACTTCGTATTTGCATTTATTTTTAACGTATTACGTTACAATATTAACCAATTGATACAGGAGTCTAAAAAAAAAACAATTTGGTTTCATCCGAGTAAGAATAATAAAGCTGTATAGTATCACCTGATAATTAAGATTTTACATAGAATCTTACAGTGCGTCTAATAATTGGCCATTTAAATTGCTAATGTTCTTTTTTTCTCTTTTTTGCAAAAAGAAAAATCAAATAACTTGACTGGCATGATTAAAAATATCTCAATTGTCTTTGAAATTAAGTTAATTATGTGTATTCTTTTAATGCAAAAAAATCTCTTTCATAAATGAAAGAGGAATATAAAAGGTTTAGGATAATTGTTATCGATCTTTGTTTTCAGAAGTTTTTAAAGGTATCTTCTGCAAGAAAGGTATCCTGCAAAAGCCCCATCGATGCAAAATGGAAAAATTCGACAAAAGAGAACGCATGTGATAAAGCCACGAAAGTCATTTGCTTGATGTGCATAACCCTATCCTATGTATTTTATGTTTCAATAAAATAAAAAACATGCATCTTTGCGCAAATTTAGGGACACCCTTTATTTCCTTGCGAAACATTGACTTCGTAATTGCGTTGTAAATGTTGATCATAACAAATTATTTAAAAGTAATAGCAGTCAAAGGCAACACCCTGCGACAAAATATGACCCTGAAGTGAACTCTGAAGAGTGCTCCGACCAAAAGTAACTTGGGATCGGTCGATGTTAAGAAAAATGTAATCGAAACACTGAAAAACATCAATCCATCAATTAAAATGTAAAAATGCTGGTGCTGTTATAACAATTTTAGCTATATCCTCTTAGTTAAGTAGTAGCATGACTTTATTTACGTCCCACTAAAGCTGCACAATGGGGTAATGGGCAATTTAAGGTAGAACAGTGTAACGAGGATTGATACCGCACACCCTTGGTTCCTACGCAGGCTGACCAAAATGGTCACCCGCCCGCTTACAGCAGCCAGTGATGCATGATTTGATGTTCTACTGGGAACTGTGTGCTTACTATCAGTCCACTGCGGGACGTTTATGGATTTATGTAAATTAAACTGGTGAAAGGGAAAAGATAAAGCAGCGTCGTCAACTTTTGGAGAACTTTACGTAAGTATGATGCAGTAACTTGGCATAGAGAGTAACTTGGCTTGAAGTAACTTGGCAATTATAGAACAATCTCCTCAATACAACCGCCGGTGATGGTGGCTTGTGCCAATAATTTCTAAGCATTTAAAGCAACCCTTGTGACCATCCACCTTATTTCAATCAAGCAGTAAAATATTTTCTGGTAAAATCGTGGTCTCGATAATAATGTGTGCAGTGAAAAGAGTACGTCAAGCAGTGTTTCTCTAATTTTTTGGCTGTTGTTGTTGTAGTTCATTTACGTCGCACTAGAGCTGCACAATGGGCTATTGGCGACGGTCTGGGAAACATCCCTGAGGATGATCCGAAGACATGCCATCACAATTTTGATCCTCCGCAGAGGGGATGGCACCCCGCTTCGGTAGCCCAACGACCTGCACGCGAAGTCGAGCACTTTACGGTAGAACAGTAACAAGGACCAATACTGCACCCCGTCAGTCCCTATGCAGATTGATCCAAGTGGTCACCCACCCGCAGTGATGCTTGACTTCGGTGATCTGCTGGGAACCGTGTCTTAACGATCAGTCCACTGCGGGACCTAATTTTTTGGCACAATTTTTAATTAATAGTAATTTCTCCTTTTTTTTACTTCTGTATTTATTAAACAAAAACTATATTTTAACTATTAATATTTTCTTTTGTTTATTTGAAGTTGACAAGGGAATTTCAAGAAAATTCCAATGTGATTAGACCAATGTGATTTTTGCAACAATATTGGTTAAAAAGTTTATGTTATTCCGTTTTTATAAATCTTTCCTTAATTTATTATTCAAAACTAAACGCTTAAAACACACTTAAATATCTAATCCTGTCTTTCAATCTATTTTTAGTTCAAGTATGCGTTAATTAACATTTTAAGGAATTTTCCTCTACAACTTTGTTAGAAACATACTTTTCCCTCGACCGATTTAATGAACCAATTATAATCACAGGGATTTCCCTTATTCCCTAACACGAACCATTTTACGGAAATATTTTACAAGATTTACCCTAATTTTTATCAAGGAGGACTTTGATTTGTGTGTCACATGGATATTCATTCTCTGATTATTATGTATAAAATTAATTTAATCTTTTTTAAATCCTGAGGCTGTCTGTCCTGCTCGCTATTAATATATATATATATAGCAAAATGGNAATAATATACAATTAACTCAATGATTTTACATTGAATTTATTTACTTTAGTTGGGTATATATATATATATATATATGGTCGAAAACTGTCATTTTTCTGTTCATAAAATCCCAAAAAAGTAAAGTGAATAAAAAACTCTGAAACTTTTTATATTAATAGAAATATGTAATGGCATTATAAAGAAAGTATATATCCTATAAATTATACTTAATATTTAAATAAATTAATTAATTTCTAATTTCTATATTTAAAAAGTGAGGAAATGATATTTTATTTTAATACATGTTTTTCTCTAAGTTACAGCTACCTCAAGTTTGAAAATGATAGCATACTAAGAATATATAATATTTATTATAATTTAGTTTTATATATTCAATAGTTTTTACAGGTTTGGGAAATAAAATTGGCTGCACGATTGAACAGAAAAAAATTTAATAATAATCTTGATCTTGAATCATTCCCTCACTTCAGCACCATTCCCTCACTTTATACACTAGTGAGGGAATGATAAATTTAAAAATAACATTTAGGCCTAATTAAGTTCTGAAATCAATCACATACAATTAAATTCATACAAGAAAGCAACATATAATTATCCACTTTCTCGATGAAGTTGTATTTTATTTTACTCTAAAAAACAACATGAGGGAATGACAAATGTAAAACATTTTACCTGGTTTGATTCATTCAAATTTATTCCACAGCAAAGCTTCTTTAAGTTGAAGATGGAACAAACTGCAATTTTGCTCTATGATGCCAGTTGTTAACTGCTAAAGTTTTTATTAAAATATTTTTATTCTAAGAAGATTGCAGGTGATAAGAAAATTGTTATGAGGGAATGACGCGAAACACAAGGGAAAAAGTTTAAAATAGTGCTGTGTTAATATTTTTATCAAAAATCAATTTAAAATTGATTTTCTGAATTCTATATTTTAATATTCTGAAATAAGAAACACGATATTGTAATTTTTTTTTATTTTTATTTCAGAAATAATTTTTTCTTTCTTTAAATCAACAGTGGGGACAAGTGAGGGAATGACATATTGGTATATTTTAATTTCCTAAAATAAATAAAAAATAAAAATTGATAATTTTATTTTTATTCTTTTGTTAGCCTGCATTCTGAAGGACACTTTCCCAGAAATTTTTTTTTCGTAAGTTGTAAAACAAACATAAAATATGCTGGAGACATGAAAATGACTGTCTTTGTGAGAATGACCCATATATATATATATATTTCTAGGTGCAAGCAATACCTGCTGCTCTGCTACACGAAATAACAAATTTTAATTAAATTGAAAATACCTAACTTAAAGTATTTACATTTTTGTGAATTTTAAGCTAATTTAAATCAATCTTTTGCATATTGTTTAAACAAAAAATATGAGTGCGTTTATCTATTGAAAAGTTAGTAACTACAACACTGATTAAGCCAAGGCTGGCAAAAATCAGGATTTTTTAAAATAAATATTTGCTTACGTCATCAAGTGTTTCAGGATCGTATTTTTTGTAAGTAGTAAGTCCAGGTGCTGAAAAATATTTTAAATTGACTCCTGTTATTGTAGAACTCTTAACCACATTCTTAGATCCCCAAAACCATATACATAAGGCATGACCTGCTTCATGTATAGCAGTTCTTTTAATTTCTGTAGCACATGCTAGCTCCTGCAGCTGAATAGCTCTACGAAGTTTCACGGTTGGACTCGTTTTAGTGACCGTGAATTCTTTGTTTAAAGTCTTGATTAATATTTCTGTCAGTGGCTTTCTGATTTCTTCAAACGGACCTGAAAATAAAACGGTTTTTGAAAATTATCATTAACTAAAAATGTATGTTTAAAGAAAATTCAACTACACTTTGAAAATTCTGTCGTAACGTGAAATACTGCTTTTTGGCTAAAAATATACTATTTTATAACTGTTGTGAGAACATTCACGACTGTTATCTCTATTTAAACAGCACACACTCAGCTGATTACAAAAATAGCGCACATAACACATTTTGGGGAAAAGCCCCAGTTTTGCGAAAATGCGTGTTATAGTTTTGCGAACCGTAATATAATTTTTTCATTATTTATTATAACTCTTTTGTATTAAATTCTTTAATATTTGAAAGTTATTTCCACCGCTGCATTGTTTGACAAAACTATTAAAATCATTAACTGGTTTTGATAATTTTCATCTGACAAAAGAAGTATCACCAAGTGTTAGACAAGATATATTTCTCTGTATATATTGCAATATAGAAATTTTTATTATCATTAGTAAAAATATTAATAATTATAATCTTTAAAAAACGTTTATTAAGACTAAGTCATGAATAAAAAATATTTGAAAATTTTTGGTAAGAAACTAACAACCAAGCTAAGAAAGCTGCAAAAATCGAAGAATAATTCCAAAATGACATGCAATTATGTAGACACAGCAGTTTTGAACCGGCAGCCTTTTGAAAAGAAAAAGAAAATCCCACTACTTCATCATCGGGCATCTTGGGAGATATGATCTTTTTCTTTCTGTTGTACACCATATATATTGTACCAAGTACATGGGTTCGTTTCGAATGGAGATAAATGAGACCAAAAATTTATTAGTAGAAACTTCCAGACGATACAGCTATTTATAGCACTCACTTACAGTTCAAATAACAGCGTAGTGCATCAAAACACAGGCTTTACAACCTCAGGCAGGTCGATGATCTATTTCAGGTCAGAACGGCCCAGCGAGGCACACTCCTATTTATATAAGCTTGCCGACAAAATCACAAACTTTCGCCACGATTCTAGACAATTCGCGCATAACACCATAAATACTTGAACCATAGCTCATTAAAATTTGAAAGAGGCGATTCGACTGCAGTGGAAAATTTGATGCCCCAGTCCTGGTTGACAGGGGGGGGGGTTATATATGAACCATCGAACTCCCTGATCTGTTTTTAACATGCAAAGTCTAATGACGAGCTTGCCATGCTTTGAATCGCTTTTCTTGTTTAAGAACAGTTGTTATCATTTCAAACAGAAAAAAAAGTTTTTCAATTTTTTAAGTCTACGGAAATATTAGTCAAATGTTTTTATCATTATTACTTTTTGGAATATTGCTTTTGAAACTTAAATCACTTTCTATTTTTGAGTAGGGGAGAAAAGCAACTTTACTAGGAGGGTCAGGCTAATTTTTAATTGCTAGGAAATCTCTCTAGGATTTTAAACTGATTGTTTATTTTTATTTATAAGTTTTTAATTTATTATGAAAGGTATATTCGTTGTTAATTCGTTCCTTCTATCGAAATTTTAACTATTTAGCGGTGTTTTTTTTCTCTCTTGTTCTTTTAAAGATATTTAAGAAATAAAAAATTAATCTTTTGAATAGAGTGAGTTACACTTAACGAACTCGAGACCTCGACGTAAAAATCTAGCAACATGCCAATATACTATAAAACATCACAAAGCTACCGTTTTCTTTTCGTTTTTTTTACTTCAAAAATATAAATAAATAAAATCGATAAGTAGGCTGAAATAAAATGATTGCTTTGACCGTTTTGCGTTGTAGGGTAAAATGTAAATGTTTAAAATCCATTTCAGTTGAAGGTAGACCAAACACAATGACAGAAAAAGAGTCTAATGGAACACATCGAACATTGTTATGGATTTTAATTTCCCCGTCGTAAATTTTAATTTAAGTATTATATGTTTTTATTTTATATATAATTCTTTAAAATATTAATTTTTAAAGGTACATCTCCAATTTTTTAAATTTTTTATTCAATAAGGATTCGTTAAACTTCGATAGCAGTTTCATTTTTACTTAAATGTCAACAACCGCTTCTTTCCAATATTAAAACTGCATTTTAAACAAGGATTCTAAAAACGTATATCAATGGTTGTCGTTAAAGAAATATTTGAAATTCCAGACACTATTACTTTCTCGCCATTCGTTTGTACGATATTTATCGCTTATAGAGACATATTGTGGGCAATTTCGATTGCAGTTGTCGCCAACACATATATTGTTTTCTATATTCAATTCGTACGAATTTTAATAACGCGATGAATAGGTGAAAAATACTGATATTTAACAATATATTCGCCATATTTTTCGAATTTAAGTAATTTACTTTAAACAGGTCACTATTTTAGTTATTCAAATAAAATTTATTAACACTCACAATACCGTGTATTGTATACAGGGTGTTTCTAAAAAGATGGGAAAATTTTTTGGAAGTAATAGTACACACCCAGACAAACAATTTTTATCAAAGAATGCATGGTCGAAAACAAAACCCAAAACCGCTAGAGGGCGTCAAAGTTTATGTTCTTATATGAGGCAAAACACACAAAAAACGATGAAGTTAAGTTTTAAAAGCAAATTTAATGGCATGTGATTACAATAAGTGCTCAAAACAGTGGGCGGCTGCGGCTATGCTGGTACAACGGCGAAGAAAAGATAGGCGAACTTTCCCTGCAGCGGCCGAAAGCTTGGCGACAAATAGCGTAGCGCAGTAACTCGCAATAGGAATGGAGCTTTCTCGTTTGCATGAAAAAACTTTTCAAATGCGCCAGCACCTTTGCGTTTTGTTTTCGACCATGCATTCTTTGATAAAAATTGTTTGTCTGGGTGTGTACTATCACTTCCTAAAATTTTTCCCATCTTTTTAGAATCACCCTGCATATCACAAGATTATCTTTTTCATATGTTATGTGATTGGTAATGATCGTTATCGCATTCGATAATTATAATTATCATTAATAATAATTGTTATGTTATCATATCCGAAATGTATTCATATCCGATATTATCATACCCGATATGTCTCGATAGTGTAAATTTGATAACTGTATATGTATTGTTGTTAGCCAATGAGCTGCCCAGTTCCTATGTGTTGGCGAAATTGACTTCACTGCTCTTATAAAATTTAAGTATCTTTGGAACTATAAATTTTAAAAAAATTATACTAATTTTAAAACCTTTTTCATGTTAATGTAGTTCTTCCACTTATGAAATACATTATGATAAATAAGCATTATGATGTCTTAGTGAAATTAATATTATTTCAAAACTAATTATTTTATAATAATCATTTTACTCGAGTTATTTTATATAACATGTTTACATATTAAAATGAAAATTAAATATCAAAATTCAACATACCATTCAGAAACTGATCTTCACAGAAGCTTTGCCAGTGCCTCGGTCCTAAAACATAATTAATGGAATCTTAAAAATTAAAAATGCCTCATAAAAATGAAACATTGCAAAAAAAAAGCAGTAAAACATTCATAAAATTGTTTTATTGATATAAAAAATAATTTGGTATGTTTTGATGAATAATACTTTAAAGAGCATGCTTGACAAGTAATTATGAAATATTTCATTTTAAACAAAAAAAAATAAAAATATTTCCTGATACCGTGTATTGAGATTAAATATTACACAAGAGATCATAAATAATCATACTTACTATCCATACTCAGTAGTTACGCAATTGATGTGTTGTAATAACTCTATATAAAGCCGGATTAATTATTTCAAAATTTGAGTTTAAAAATTACTATTTGCGATTTAAATTACCATTTGTATAGAAAATGACTTCTTTGGTTCAGCATAACGAGAGACGGATTTTGTCGTATAAACAAAACCCTAACTTACTGCTCAATAATTCGATTTTTAATCAAACTTTTTCACGCAAAACCATGTAATTGGGTATAATATGAAAAAAACACAACTACTTCGATTTAGTAGGAACAACATATGACGCAATGCTAAACGAATGGAATTTAGTTGTTGTTTATTTAGTTATTGTTATTAGTAGTTGTTGTTATTTGTTTNATCAAACCAAAATATTTTACTAGTTAAATTTAGTAGGAATAACACGATCTGTGACGTAGGCTATAGTATACCCAATTATGCTATAACTCGATCGTGCTCTTAGATCTACACGGTATCAGTTTTAAAGGAAGGATGGATATTATTTTTTAATAAAGTTATGATTTGCTAATAACAATATTATTTTTATTTATTGATTGATTTTTTTGGAACAGAGGATTTGATTTATTTATTTTTCATGTTTGAAAGTTAATGAAGGTCTGGATCAATTCGGTACTTACACTTCATGTAGAAGAAGAAGAACACAATACCCACACATGTGACCTACGACGCCGGCGCCAGCTGATCGCTTATAAGCAAAATGGCTTGTTAAAGTTGAGCCGAGTTTCTTGACATAAGTTGAAATGTTAACTAACGCGAAATTAATTAAATACAGCACTTTATCACACATCTAATTCATAGAAAAGTAATTCTTTCTTGTCAACGTCTTTTAATTAACTTTGAATTATTATATGTTTATGCATTTTATTGTAACCGTGACAAATTTTCGTTTTGTATACCTGGCAACTTCGTTGCATAATTCGTCTGCTTATGTTCTGCATGGCTTCATGCTTGTCTGTGCTAAGAAATATAAATAATTGACATATATTTGGGAAGGAATAAGAATATAGAACGTGTCACTTAAGAGAATTGATACTTTCCGGATTGGCTTACTCGAAATAGAATTAAAAGAGCAGTTACTAACGTAAACAAATGCCACGCTTCAACCACCAATCAGGATCGAGATACCCAGACCACGTCACTAGCAGGTATCCCATTATTAATTCATGGAAGGCTGCAGTACGCAAAATTCTTTTTTTATTATTGAGAACATCATTTTTTCAACTGTTCACCAGAAAACTGCAATTTTTTTAAAAATTTGATTTTATAGAAGGGCGAATCCATATCGGCATTTTGGTTATACCATTAATTATCTCAGTAACTTTGTAATTTTGAATCAGAGCAAAGAAACAAGAGCAGTTTTGAATCAAGAATTGCAACTAACTTCCTTTCGTGGAATAGTTCTTACAGGAGAACACCCCTATTACCGTTACATGAGTGGTTAGACAAAGTGCAAAGAAAAATGTTATAGGTTAGTAAGTATTTAGGTGACTTAAATGTATGAATTGTTACCCAGTCTATATCAAGGATTTCAGTTTACCAGCTATAACGTTCTATGATTCATTTATCTTTTTATTTATTTTCCTAGTTTTGCTTATTTATTTGTTCATTTTACAAAATAATTTATCATCTTTGTATGAAAATTTTAAGCTTAACTCGCAAGATTTATGCCTGGGGTGAACAAACGGTGAGATTAGAAATGTTTATTATCCGATCATCAAATGTTTATTATACATTTTTTGCTCGCGTTTTTTCCCTTTCTAGGTTCTAAGAACGGGAACGGCTTATAAACCCTTGCAAAAAGGGAAGAATTGATGCAATGGCATAAATTACAAATGCTAAGGGGAGGAATACAACCCGCTACCACATATAATGGAATGAACTTTGGGATATTTTATAACAGCCTGTATCATTGAACAAAGTCTTCATGTTCAGTTACATCAGAACAGACGCACGCGAATGTGAGAGGATGTGCTAATATTGCTAAATCTAAAAATAGATCTAAATCTAAACGTCCCGTGACCACAAAGGTAAAGGTTAATATTTATTTACAAATACTGGAAAAAATTCTGGAAAAATTACAGTTCTGTATCGTAATTATATTCCTGGAAAAATAAAGAACATAATTCTGGTTAATAAAACCAAAATATATCGCTGGCTCAAAACTAAAACGACACATCTGCAAATGTGTAATGTATGCAGATGTGTCGTTTCAGTTTTGAAGCAGCGATATGGTATGTAAACCAGCCCTTTCGTAATTTTTCTGATTTTTAAGATTATAGTTCTTATTACCCACACCGTGACGCCACAATTGGCATTATGTATAAATACATTTCCTATCTTTTAAAATTTCTTCACTTTCTTAAAATTATTTTTTTAATCATTCTTAACCGAATTTTAATTAAATTAAATCAATTATTTAATTTTTACTAAAATTTATAATAAGCGAATATAAAAATATTTAATTCTTTTCTTATCGATCTATGTAACGGATAACTTTTTTTTTCCAATACTAATCATTAATTCACTGCCGCGACTAATCGAACACAAAAATCTATTTATAACTCTTTGTTCTTTTATTTCTTACCATTAATATTTTCAGTTACATGGTTATACTAATTCTCAAAGTCATGTTGACGATTCGCGTATTTTCCAATCTAATATTTATTATGGGGGGTTGGATTTAGTTTTGGCTATGTTATCCCCCTTCCCAACCGCTGAATAGAATCTTAACTAAACTTTTCGATGCAAGAGAATGTTTTTCTTGATCACTTTAAGGGATTTTTCTTTATTTTTAAGTTTTGAATTGTGGTCATTTTCAATACTCAATAAATAAATTTTTCTTGAACAATTTTATTCATTTCTCTGAATTAATTATCATTATATTACATCCAAATTAAGAAATATCTGTCTGTAACGGCCAAAAGTCAATGATGATACCTAAACTATCACTAATTAATTTAAAACGATCACAGCCACTACACACACTTTTATTAAAAAATACAAAACTAAAAAGTAAATTTATTTTTAGAGTAAAAATTCAATGAATTTAAAATAATTAATGTAAATTATAAATGTATTTAAGCAGAGCGATTAAGGAACATTATAAATGGCTTTTATGCCAAGGTCTAAAGTTTCTTGACAAAACTACCGAATTTTATCCCATTTTCTAACTTTTTTCACATATTATACTATCATACTTTATTGTTAATATTATCAAAATAATTGCCAATTCGCTTTGGTAAAAACTACCGAACTTTTTTTTTGCTCCCATTCAGCCAGAGACACAACAAATTTTACCAGTCTGGTAGTTTTTTTTCCTCTGTGTTGTTTTTAGAAAATGCAAGGAAATAAAAAACTGAAGTTTATTGACATGTTACAAATAAAATAGTATAGCTTATTTCCTGAAAACCGATGTTGAAGAACGACATAATGTGTTTTTCAATATCCATGCAAATTAGTTAATTATACTCGAAAACAAAGAATTTCTCGTATTAGAAATTATATGTCTTTCAAAATTGTCTGTTTCAGCTTCAAAAAATCATCTGTAAGTTTTATCCAAGTGTAAAATAATAGCATCACTTTGTTCATGTTCTTTACTATGCCATTGTTTTCTGAACTAAATGAAACGAAAATACAGAAAAAGCAGAAATAAAAGAGAACAGGAAAGATCATTATTAAAAAATAAAAAGTGCGGCGTAGGCAATGCATGTGCGAAAGAACTGCAGTTAGGTAGCATATAAATGGAACAATTTTTCAAATGTTTTGGATTTATTCTCGATTTAATTTGCATTGTCAATTTTTACCTCGATAAAAAAAATTTGTACAATCAATGGAGTAAAGAGGCATAAAATAATAGTTTTACATAAAACCAGCACAAGACCTGCGCTCACATATGTTTACCTGTATTATGTCAAAATCAAGTTTGGACAGTGACAAAACCTGAACAACAATTGTATCCCAATATATGAGAGAAAGATTTTGCGGTGTATACTACGGAATGAATTGAAAGATCCAAGTGATTCGAATGAGTGATGACAATAAAATAAAAAAGCATTTATTATTTTTAAGGCAAACAGGAACAAGAAAGCGGGGAAGGCAGCGGTTGAGATGGGCTAATGCGGTGGAGTCAGATTTTCTTACAATTAATGAAAAGAATCGGAGATCTATAATAGATCAGAAGTCGTTATGGAAAAATCTACAGAGAAAGGCACTAGCCCACATTTTGCTGTCTGTCCAACTATGATGATGATGATGACTATGTCAAAATCGTGCCGCAGTCGACTGATCGTTACGACACGGTTCCCAGCACATCACCGAAGTCAAGCATCACTGGCTGCGTTCAATGTGCGGGTAGGTGACCACTTGGATTAGTCTGCGTAGCGGCCGAGGGTATGCGATATTGCTCCTCGTTAAACTGTTGTACAGTAAAGTGCTCGACTTCGCGTGCAGGTCGTCGGGCTACCAAAGAGGTAGTACCATCCCCTCTGCAGAGGATCAAAATTGCGATGGCATGTCTTCGGCTCATCCTCAGGGATGTTTCCCAGACCGTCGCCAATAGCCCATTGTTCAGCTCTAGTGCGACGTAAACGAACTACAACAACAACATTTATATCAAAATCACATCGAAATGGACAGGTTACTTTCTAGAGAAAACCTTCGAAAATGAACTGTTTTGCGATTAACTTAGATGACTGTATGTTAAAAATCAGATAAAGTACTTACATTTGCTTAATCGGTGAGGCTGTCACTCATTACTTTTTTCTGAGAAATTACCCGTTTTTACAGTCAGATTTTCATATTTTCCATTATCGCTAAATGATAATATGCCTCATTATGATTTTTTCAGAAGGTAAAACCACAAACAGATGCACAATGCAGATGCATAAAATGAATTAAATTTTATATTTATACATCATTTATATTACATTATTCTTTTTACAGGAGAACGCATTGCATATTAAATCACATTAAATTTTACAATTCAAGAAATTAATTATCTTTAGTGATAAGTTCAATAAAAATTTGTCTTTAGTAGTAATTGTAACATCAAATTTTTGGGGGACTGTTTATTTCTTACATATAAAAATCT